GGTGTATGCGTACGTAAATTTTTTATTTTTGTTTTTCATTTTTCTTGTGTTCGTGGATGATTTAATTTTACGTTTAAGGTTGAGCATTAGTGTAATGTATATTAGATTAGATGTGAAAAATGGTGTGAATTAGCAGATGAGAATTGAAAATCGAGTCATTATATCTATTAGATTTATTGAGACAATTAAAAGCGTCATTATATCTATATTTCAAGACGCTGTAAGTGTCATAAAAACAGAGATTTATAGAAGTTGAAAAGTCATAATATGACGCCTATAAATGTCACAAAATACGTGTAGTTGAGACGTCTGAAGGCGTCATCATAGCATGGCTGTTGAGACGCGGCTTTCGTCACAAAATGATATTATGACGGCCACCTATGTGACGCTTATGTAGGGCGTCACAATAACCAAAGCGTCACAAAAAGTTGCTATAGTGACGATTTAAGGCGTCACTAAAAGCTGATTTTCTAGTAGTGAGCACTTCCTCACTGGTGGCAGGGACCTCTAAAGTTGCCGTATTAAACCTCTGCACATAGCTTCTCAAAGGCTCATTCTCCTTCTGTCGTACTGCAAATAAGGTAAGGGTGCTCCTCTTTTGTTTTTTCGAGCTGGCAAAATGGTTTAGGAACACCTCACCGAATTGTGCGAAGCTGTGGACCGAGCAGCGCGGAAGCTGGCTGAACCATCTTTGCGCTGGCCCCGCCAACGTGGTTGCAAACACACGGCACTTTACGCCGTCTGTCAGCCGATGGAGGGAGGCTGAGGTGATGAACCTCGACAAATGTTCCCAGGGGTCCGTGGTCCCCGTGTACTCGTAAGTGACATGTTTGAATGTGGCGGGAAGTTCACCATGCTGCAGTCTTTCGGTGAACGGCGTTCCCGCCATTCCTTCTTCCTCCTCGAGAGGAGAGGCCTCTAGCCCGTCTAGACACGGTCCCGCTTCGCCTCCGCCCGGTGCCTTTCTTTTGGCAGCAGGATCCTCCATCCTCTCCTGGGGCGACCGGCCCCTAGCCGCTGCGGCGATCAAGGCCTGCAGGTTTTCCAGGGTGAGCGTTATGGTGGAATTCTCGCGTCCGACAGGAGAACCACCAGCCGCCGGGGTTGGTTACCTCCCTCCGAAGGTCCGAGGGAGGTTCGCCTCCGATGACTTGTAGCGGGGGTGGGGTGGATTCTTCGTTCAGCTGCTCCGATAGGTTTCGGACTACGTCCACGGGCGTAGACATTGGTAGCATCCTTTATGTGCGTCAGTAGTGCTAGATGGTGAAGAGCTAGTCTGGCTTTACTTGTAAAACACTTTCCCACAGACGGCGCCAATTGATCCAGAGGAAAACAGTTGCGTTGATGACCTTGGCTTCCGGTGACCTGAAAGAGAGAAAGCCGGACTGATGCCGGAGTTAGCACTCCGACGATCAAGTCAGTGATAGTGTGATTACTGTATTTCCTTAGGATTCAGGATTTTTTGTATATGTTAAAGTAAAAGTGAAACTCCCTTTTATATACCCTTCTACTCGGAACTCGAAGGCCCGGGAATTCCGCGCTAATTGCAGATGACAGTCGTCCTTCCTCGAGCAGCCCGGGCGGCCGGGGTCATGATGACTCCTCCAATAGGTCTGTTGACCTCATTCGGTGCTAGCCGTTGAGCCGCGCCTGGTCATTCCGCCATAAATGCCACTGTCAGAGCATTAAATGCGCCGTCCAGCATTTATGACCCCCCCGACCTGTGAAAGCTCCTCGGGAGGGAAACCAGGCCCTTCGTGGATCGGCCCTTACGCCAATGGGCTGGGTGACCCCTTGGGCCGTTTGTACTGGTAAGCCCACCCTTTAATGGGCCTTGATAGTTGGGCCCTTGGCCCTGGACCGGAGAAGGATAGTTCTGGTCCGGATCAACGTGTAAGAAAATTCATAGTTGAAAGGGGTGGTTGTAATTACTCGAACAATAGAGGTTTTTTTTCATAATTTGATAATACTCCAGGGGGTGTTCCGTAATTTACCCTAATTCTGTGGTACCAAATACAATAATTAAATTTTATAAAACAAGTACAAAAAGTTTTTTTTCTTCATAATTTGGGTATACTTCAGGGGGTGTCCGTAATTTATCCTAATTTTTATGGTACCAAATACAATAATTAAATTTTATAAAACAAGTACAAAAATACATTAAATAATAACCGTGGACGTGTACGAAAATTCATAGTTGAAAGGGGTGGTTGTAATTACTCGAACAATAGAGGTTTTTTCATAATTTGATAATACTTCAGGGGGTGTTCCCGTAATTTACCCTAATTATGTGGTACCAAATACAATAATTAAATTTTATAAAACAAGTACAAAGTTACATTAAATAATAACCATGGACTTATATGAAAATTCATAGTTGGCAGGGGTGGTTGTAATTACCCGAACAATAGGGTTTTTTTTTCATTATTTGACAATACTTCAGGGGGTGTCCGTAATTTACCTGAATTATGTGGTACCAAGTACAATAATTAAAATTTTATAAAACTAGTACAAAATTACATTAAATGATCCTAAAAAAAAAAAATTAAATAATTTGTCAGAAGTGGGGTTTGAACCCACGCCCTCTTACGAGGACCAGAACTTGAGTCTGGCGCCTTAGACCACTCGGCCATCCTGACTTTGTTATACATAATGTCGAGTTAATCCTATATATACGTAAAGGACAACTCAAATTAAAAAGGAAAAATAAGTTCCCATTTTCCTCATCGTTACGTATTTTCTTTTTTTAAATCCTCATGCTTCTATATCATCCAAAATCTTGTTATTCTCTAATATACAAGACTATATTCGCATTTATATTTTATTTAATTGAAAGTTTATATTGTTCAACATATTTTGGAAAGTATCATTCAAACCGGTTTACTCTTTTTTTTTTCTCAAGGGTTTATTCTATAGTGATGTGATTCTTTGTTATAAAATAGTATTTTTTTTTATAATGATTAAGAGAATTTTTTGCAATTGATTTTATTTATTTATTAATATTTTTTTTTTGTTTCCGCAGCTGAGTTAATTAGTCAAAAAAGAGGAAAATAAAAAAATAATCAGCCATTGATAAAATCAACACGGTACAAAATTAATTTTGTGGCGTCTATTTGGATACCAAATTTTGCGGGCACACGTCCACGACCTCATCCCGTTGCGTTGACTCATTTTGTTATTAAGTCTTTACGTTTTTATGTTTAATTAATTTTGGGAATAAATAAAGATAATAATTAAGAGTGTCAAAATTTGTTGGTTGAAGCTGTCAAACTGAAATTAATGTGATCTTGTAATGATTTGTTTGAGTATTAGGAAATTATTTTTTCAATAGATTTTATGTTTTTGGTAAAAATATTGACGGTACAATATTTGCATCCTCAAGAAATTTCTTCGATCACCGGAATTTACGAACAAAACGGTAAAGGGAAATAATACGAGAGAGAGAATTCGAGAGAAAGTATCATGTATGTTTTCTTATTGTTTCGGAACGTAACCCTAATAGGGTTTAATACATTTGCTTATAGGGATAACCATTTATGGCTCTTTCCTAATTTACATTTGCTGTCTTCGTCCATGATTTATTATGATCGTTCAATCAATGACTCTAATTTACAATATTTATTTATCTATTTATGGAAGTTATACCCGAATCACATCCTCAAACGATCATGAGATCAGCTCGCCATCTGTCACGCCTTCCGTTCTCATCTTCACGCGTATTAGAAGCATAAGGCGAGCGCTCTCAGCCCGTTTGATTATTCGCCCGCGCCCCTTCAAGCGAGTTTTAATTTGATTTTGGCATATCCCGACTCTCGTAACCCATTTAAGCGAGCTCTCGACTCATTTTACTTCTTGAAACCCATTCACCTTTCACTCTGACATAGTGAAAAGGTGGAGGTACGGTCCAGTGCCAAACTGACCCCATCAAATATTGAGATTATCGAGTTATTATCTAGATTCCAAAGCCGTGGAACTAGCACTTAAAAGTAACAAGTGGACCATTCAGATACTTATGTTTTTTTTTTGTTTTTTTTATCAGTAAACCAATCATATTCACCTTGCTCAATTACTAGCATTAATGATTAATATATCTATTCTAAATCTGAACTAATTTATGAGACTAATGATTTTGCTATGATTACCCAATCAAATTTCTTCTATCATTTCCACTTTTAGTATAAAACAAAATCGTCACCGGTGCATAATCAGAATTTTGATCATACCAAAAATAATTAGGGTAAATTACTTATCAAATTACGAAAAAAATCCCTCGTGTTTGGGTAATTACAACTACCCCTCAACTATAAACCTTCTTCCATATTCACCCCTGAAGTGTCAAATTTAGTGGAATATTCTCCAGTTTGTACCCATTTTACCGCATTCGAGCTCCACATTTTAAAACAAGATGAGCATAAAAAATGTCTCTTGGCTTGTAAATATCAGATTATGGTGCATTAGAAACTGTATTTTTGCATAAAACGAGTACTAATCTTATGAACATTCCACATAATCTAGACAATTCTGTTGAATTTAACACCGTATAGATGAACGTGCAACAAAATTCGTAGTTAATAGGATAACTGTAATTACCAAAACATGAGAATTTTTTCGTAATTCGACCTTTTACTTAGGTTGACCATAATTTACCCACTCGAGCTACGTGTATGTATGTATATGTAATAAAAGTCAAGAGGTTATTGGACTATGCTATACTTGGATAGATTCTTGAAAATGTCGACTTTTTTCTATTTTTTATTTTATTTATTTATTTTATTATACTCTTTAATTAACGAGAAAACAATACCAGTGTTTGGGAGGCCACAAAAATGGTGTTGTGGTGTGTAGCAGACACGGTTTGTTTGTGGGCCCCACTATTTGATCAGCCCTCTTTATATACTTTATTCAGACCAACAAACAAACACAATCCGCCATTTCCCAATTAAAAAAAAAATTAATAATAATTAAGGAGTTGTAGAAACAGAAATATTCTTCATAGATTTTTTGGGGTGGGTGGGTGGGTAGTAAAAATGCATCGTAGTCTGCAGATGGAAGGTGGCGTTAATGGCGGCGGCGGATCAGAACTACCCACCACTTCCGATGACGGTCAATTTTTAGTTGCCTTCAGAAAGTAAGTCAACGGTGACGGAATATTCTCTTTTCGCCGTTTTTTTTTTTTTTTTTTTTTTTCAGCTTAGCTCAATTTGGATTGTGAAGTTGTGAACTGATTTTTTTTTTTTTTTCTTTGCTTATTTAGTTTATTATAGTTGGTGAAAGTATCTTAACTATGGTTAGTAATTTTTCTATTTTCTGTATTCAGCTTTAATTTTGTGTTAACAGCTGAAATGGGTTCTGTCTATTTACTCCGAATTATCCGCTTTTAAGTTCAAACTCGAATTTAGCTTTTGTTGTTTCTTGATTTTAGCTAATTATGTTGTTTCTTGATTTTAACTTATGTTGTTTCTTGATTTGACATTGGGTTCTAATTTGAAGGATGATGAAAAAGGAAATTGAGGTGATGGTGATCCGTACCGTTCATCAAGTAATAGGGCCGATTGTCGAAGATTTAATTCGTAAAGTTGTGAGTAGTGGCCGATAATGGATTCTTGTTTTTTTTTTAAAGCTTATTTGCACTCCAATTATTTTGTTACGTAAGTTCATAGAATCGTTTGCTCATACTCGTTTGTGAATCCCGAGTTCGATTTCTCGTTGTTTAGTTAAAAGAGGAAATCCAATCGGCCGTGGAGAAAGCGATGCTTTCGACTAATGGGGTTCGGTGAGCTTTTACTTTTACACACACATATTTGTACGCGCAAAACAATTCTTGTCTTAAATTCTTGAATCTTAATTTAGGAACTCTTCGAACGAGACAAGTTTGCAAGCGCTTAAGATCTTGGATGAAGTAGCGGGTCCCGTTTTGACGGGTAAGCCAATCACGGGAAACGAAGGCACTCCCATTAGGGTTGCGCTCGTTGATAAAACAACAGGGGAGGTTATCAAAAGCGGGCCCGGATGTTCGGCGAAGGTGGAGATATTAGTACTTGACTCGAGCAGTGATAGTAATGAACATCATAATTGGAGTATCGAGGAATTTAATAATAAGATTATTAGAGAAGGTGATAAAACGAAACCCCACTTTGCGAGAAGTAACTATGTGTACCTCGAGGAAGGTGTTGCCGTTTTACGTGACGTCAAGTTGGGGCATGATTCTATTTGGATGAAGAGCTGCGAGTGCAGGCTAGGGTTGAGAATTGCCGAGAGTTTTCGAGGGGTAAAAGTGGAAGAAGCACGGTCGTCGTCGTTTATGGTCTTGGATAGCCGTAGCAAATGTAAGTATTTTCCCCACTTTTTTTCTTTTCTTTGTTTTATTGTTCGTAGAAATAATTTTTTCGACATCGTAAAGAACAAATTGACTACTTTAATATATATATATATATATATATATATATATATATATATATATATATATATATATATATATATATATATATATATATATATATATATATATATATATATGTTGGTCCTAGATCCCCCGATTCCTAAAGTTCCAATTTCCGATTTTTGGGAACAAATTGACTACTTTAATATAGATATGTTGGTCCTAAATCCCCCGATTCCTGAAGTTCCGATTTCCGATTTTTGATTGGAAAATATAGTAAACTCATATTACGATTTTTTCCTATTTGTTTTTGGAACATAATTGAAATACATATTAGATTCTGAGTTCCGAATTTTTTATGGAACATAATAGGAATACACATTAGATTCCGATTTCCAATATTTTTTTGGAACATAATTGGAATGCATATTAGATTCCAATTTTAATTTCCGACAATTCCAAAAAACTTACCAAAAAATATACTTACAATAATTATGTACTTTTTTTTTTTTACATCATAGGTGATTTGAAAATTTGGAAACTATGAATCCCGCCGATTTCGAACTTGAAACAAGTTTTTGCATTCCAAGTTAAGAAATTATGATTACTTTTTTCTTGGATCGGAATTGGAATTAGTGTTTAACTTCCAAAAGAAATTGGAAAAATTCTAATCCGATCAGTCCAATTTCCACCCCTAATAGTCCAATCAACTAATGCTTTGTTTTTTGCAGTGTATGGGAATCATTACCCTCCGTCTCTCTCCGACGAAGTTTGGAGGTTGGAAAACATCGGGAAAGATGGCACCCGATGCAAGCAATTGTACAATAACAAAATCTTGAAAGTGAAGGATTTTTTGTTCCTCCACTCAATCAATCCTCAAAGGCTCCAAGAAGTAACAATCATTACTTACACTCTTATATATATATAACTTGCACTTACGTCGTTTATAGTAAGTATAATATTGATATGTGTCGACCGTAGATATTGGGCGTTGGCGATAAAACGTGGAAGAGCACAGTGGATCATGCTCGAACATGCATTCTTGACGATGAAAGTATATACGTATACTACCCTTCTGAATTTAAAACGGGCGTCGCTTTCGACGCTGTTGGCGGGCTAAAAGGGGCGATCCACGACTCGCACTATGTTCCAATTACCGATCTATCTATCGATGAGAAGGTCCGTTTATATTTACTATATTTACTTTCGATAAAATTCTTTTTTTTTTTTTTGTTTAATTGATTAACAATTTGTGTCTTTGTAAATATAGGATTGCGCGCGCAGTTTACTACTCGTTGCATTCGAAAACGGGAAGGATATAATCTCCTTCCCCGACGAAACTTCTCTGCAGCATCAATATCCGTCCAAATATTCCGATCTTGATTGTTTGTCGGATTTTTTCCGTGGCATTGAGCATTTCGAAACTCTTTTTTCTCCCGAGAGCAATAATAACGTTTGTGGGGCCCACTCAGAGCCCCATCGACAAAGTAAAGGTGGCAGTGGTTTAGATGGGGTTGCCGCTATTGTGATTAGGATGGTTCGCGCGAGGAAGAGGTTTATGGCTTTGGGAGGTATGCATCTTCAGAAAAGACAGAGGATTTAATTTAATTTAATAATTCATCAATGGATATATTCGTTTTTTCGGCTGCGTTTGATTGCAACAGATGATGGAAACTTGAGGGAGGAGCTATCGAGTTTCGGAAAACGTGCTATTCAGTTTCGGAAAAAATGAAGTGGCAACTTGTATATATGAGTGTGTATGTATGTATGTATGTATGTATGTATGTATGTATGTATGTATATTTAATCTAATCTTGATAGATTAGATTGAACAAAACTAGGAGATTAACTAGTGTTTCTTGTTCTTCATTCTTTGATATATTTATTTTTAGAAAGATAGATTTAATTGTTTTTCTTTTTATTATGATCCATTGATTCTTGAAATTATTGAAAGAGAGAAATACATATTTGTTGAGATCCCTGAAATTGTTGAGATTTGTAAATGTACAAATTTGTTAGCAGTAGCGCTGAAAGTCGGATGAATTGGATATGAATTAACCTTTTCAGGATTTTTTTAATTATTTTCGGAAATGCAAAACTAATTCCAATTTGAATTCAACAATTTTCGGAATTTCGAAAATCACGTAAGTTCTAACATTTTTAAAAAGTTTCATAAACTTTCATAAATTTTCAAAAAAAAAAAAAAAATAAGAAAATTCACTTTCTTAAATCATAAAACTAAACTAATATGATAAATTTTAATAGTTTTAAAAATTGTTCCAACATCGAAACGTTTCGGATTGGAATTGGCGGATATTGGAAATTCCGTTCCAACTTCCACCCTCTAGTTAGCGGGGTGGAAATTTGAACACAAATTTTGAATTATTGATTTTTTTTATTTTATTCTCTAATTTTTGGAACACATAGATTGATTTTAACTTCTGAAATTCCAAATAAAATAATTAAATTATCTAAAGAAAGTACAAATTATTAATAAATATTCAAAATATTGGAAATTTGAGCACAAATTTTGAATTAGTGATTTTTTTCAATTTTGTTTCCTAACTTTTGGAACAAATAAATTGATTTTTGATTTATGAAATTCCAAACAAAATAACTAAATTATCTAAAGACGAAACTACATACAAAAAAAATTATTAATAAGAATTCTACAATTTTCAGAATTCAGAAATTCATTCAAATTTCAAAAATCGTGGAAATTTCGGAATTTCGAAAATCACGTAAGTTCTAACATTTTTAAAAAGTTTTATAAACTTTCATAAATTAAAAAAAAGAAAAAGAAAATTCACTTTCTTAAATTATAAAACTAAACTAATATGATAAATTTTAATATTTTAAAAATTGTTCCAAAATCGAAACTTTTAGGATTGGAATTGGCAGACACTGGAAATTCCGTTCCAACTTTCACCCCCTAGTTAGCGGGGGTGGAAATTTGGACACAAATTTTGAATTATTGAGTTTTTTTTAATTTTATTCTCTAATTTTTGGAACAAATAGATTGATTTTAATTTCTGAAATTCCAAATAAAATAATTAAATTATCTAAAGTACATAAAAAGTACAAATTATTAATAAATATTGGAAATTTGAGCACAAATTTTGAATTATTGATTTTTGATTTCTGAAATTCCAAACAAAATAATTAAATTATCTAAAGACTAAACTACATACAAAAAACAAATTATTAATAAAAATAATTGTCAGAAGTGGGGTTTTCACCCCCTAGTTAGCGGGGGTGGAAATTTGGACACAAATTTTGAATTATTGAGTTTTTTAAATTTTATTCTCTAATTTTTGGAACAAATAGATTGATTTTAATTTCTAAAATTCCAAATAAAATAATTAAATTATCTAAAGTACATAAAAAGTACAAATTATTAATAAATATTGGAAATTTGAGCACAAATTTTGAATTATTGATTTTTTTCAATTTTGTTTCCTAACTTTTGGAACAAATAAATTGATTTTTGATTTCTGAAATTCCAAACAAAATAATTAAATTATCTAAAGACTAAACTACATACAAAAAACAAATTATTAATAAAAATAATTGTCAGAAGTGGGGTTTGAACCCACGCCCTCTTACGAGGACCAGAACTTGAGTCTGGCGCCTTAGACCACTCGGCCATCCTGACTTTGCTGTTTACTTGCTTGATTGATTATATATCCTTATGTTTAACTAAAAAGAAATTCTTAAAACTCAAAAAGGAAAAATTAATTAACGAAATGGGCATATGAGCCTACATCAATTTACAAGACCATTTAATTCATAAATCAAACAAAAAAACACAGTGTGGATTAAAGGTGCAAATTCAGAAGAATATACAGTTAATGAAGTAATTAATCAAGAAAGTCAGGTTAATTCATAAAAAAAAAAAAAAAAAAAAAATACAATGTGGACTAAAGGTGCAAAACTGCAAATACTGAAGAATATATACTTATTCTGCAAATAACTAGTTCTTTGTCTTCACAATTAGTTTTTAATTTCGCCCACTATCTCTTTGGCTAATCATTTCAGAAATAATCCTGAAACTGTATTTTTTATATATTAATATTTATTAAAAAAAAAATAGAAAGCACTCTATGTTAAATACAAATAACTATTAATATGAACTTTTGGTGAATATATAATTGACTACTAAATCAGAAGAAATTATTACTTTCAAATCCCTCTAATAAATTAAAAAAATCATCAATCAATACACTTAATTTAAGATTATCGGCTCACTATTATCTCACATTTTAAAGATTTTTTCTTGTGTCATATATATTTTAAAATTCTAATAATACATTAATTGCTAAAAAAAATTCTTCAATTTTAATTAGTTAAGAGAGAATTAGTAGAATATTGTTTTTTACTAAAAAGGGTATTTTAGTCATATTTGTCTCTTCGTAAAATCCATGCATATTTATTGTTTTTTTTCTTGAATATATCTGCATGAATCCAACTATATTTATTTTGAAATAAATGCAATAGTAAATGGTGATGATTTTGGCTAAGACAAAAGATAGATTACATATGCAAATAGTATTTCAATTTGAAAAAAAATGAATATAGTTTAGTAATTCAAATAAATTCAAATGAAATTTCCATAAGCAAATTCACATTTTGTCAAAGTGTGTTGCAGCATTGATTTGTGAGAACTGGCTTGTTTTTCCTTTTCCTTTTGGGGGTGGTGGTGCAAAAATCAAGATCCAATTGGTGTAGAGAGCAATTGTAAAGAGAGTGAGGGATCAAGAAATAAAATGGCAAATTATGGAGGGACTAATCAGAAATGTAAAACCTGCTACAAGACTGTGTACTTGGTTGATCAGCTTACTGCTGATAATAAGGTTTATCACAACTTCTGCTTCAGATGCCACCACTGCAAAGGAACCCTAAAGGTTTGATTTTTCTTCATTTTTTTATTTCTATTTTTGATATTTGCAAAAAAAATTATGTTTTTTTTTAAGCCATTTTGTTGTATGTAAGTATGTCTATGTAGCACAGAAACTTCAATTTCTTAACGTTTCCGCTTTTCGAACACATTTCGTGTCGGAAACTCGAAAACACCTGCTGCACACCTTATGGGCCATTTTGCAATTTCTAAAAATTTAGAAACTTTGAGAATAACAAATTTTCAAATATTTTTATTGTTTCCCTAATTATTTACATGATTTAATGACCAATTGCAAATTGACATTTAATAGTAATTAAATTTATTTTGAATATGTTTGTATGAAATTATAAAAAAAAAATTATATAGAAATAAAAACTTATATATGTTTATACAGTATATTTATAAATATATGTCCTTATACTTTTAATATTTACACGTTTCCCCAAGTTCCTCTATCCTCCTTTTCGGGGCGTGCCGTTTCCCTTTTCCCCGTTTCTCCGTATCACCGTTCGTGTCAGTGCTACATAAATATATGTATGTATGTATGTATGTATGTATGTATGTAAGTACGTACGAACGAATAAATTTGTAACAATTCTTACACAAGGCTGTGATCCTTTACTTTCTTTTATAATATACTGACCTTAATTGAATTGCATCATCAAAATTTATTGCAGCTGAGTAACTACTCTTCATATGAAGGTGTTCTGTACTGCAAACCTCATTTCGATCAATTGTTCAAAATGACCGGCAGCTTGAACAAGAGTTTCGAAGGTAGTAGATCGATTTGATCCTCACTTTATCTCTCAACACTTTGGAGTTTAATTATCTTATATCGTTTATTTATATTACGTTCGTTTAATTTATAGGGGCTCCTAAAACTGCTAGAGCCGAAAGATCTAACGAGCAAGGCCCTACAAATAGCAAATTCTCGAGTTTGTTCGGAGGGACTCAAGATAAATGCATCGCTTGCGATAAAAAAGTTTACCCTCTCGAAAAGGTACTTGTAAGATTAAAAAGAAGCGTAAATTACAAATAACCCTTTCTTGTATGGTTAATTGCATTCAACACCCCGCATTTACTCTAATTGTTAAAAGAACTCCATGTGTCCTACAATTCAATTTTTAATTTTTTATAAGCAAAATGCCCCCTAAAAAACATCATTTAGCAAGGGGAGTTTTTTTTAGCAATTCGATATATCACGGGGGTGCTGAATGCAATAAACTCCTTTTCGATGTGCCTAAATTACTAAAATCTTCCTTTTGTTTGTGAAATTACGTTTATCCTCCTCAAACTAACGGCTTGTGAAAGAAAAAAAAAAACACTCAAATGAAAAATGTGAAACGTCTAAAATACCCCTAATGTTGTTGACGGAACAATTCTATATATATAGGTAGCGGTTGATGGAACATTGTACCATAGGTGTTGTTTCAAGTGCAGCCACGGCGGGTGTGTAATAAGTCCGTCGAATTATATAGCGCACGAGCATCGGCTATACTGCAGGCATCATCATACTCAGCTCTTTAGGCAAAAAGGTAATTTCAGCAAATTAGACAAACACGAGCAAGCCAAAGTGATTAACGGTGCAGCCTAAAGTGAAGCGTCGATGTATTTCGTAAAATGTGAAAAACGTGCGACATTTTTTGTTGTTTCGTTCTTGTTTCTGCTTTGATCTTTGGTCATGTTGTGACTTGTGACATTAATGAGTACTTTTCATGCGATTATTGTTTTCCTATGTTCTTTTTAAAGTTTAGGGTAAATTACAACCACCCCTGAGGTATGGTCAAATTACGAAAAAACCCCTCGTGTTTGGATACATCTACTACCCCTTAATTATGATTTTTTCTTATACCTAGGGTGTCAAATTCAACATAATCATCTAGATTCCGTGGAATGTCTTCTACTTTGTACTCGTTTTTTGCAAAAATACAGTTTATAGTGCATCACAATATGATATATACAAGCCAAAAAACACATCTTATGATCATCTTACTTCAAAATGTGGAGCTCGAATAAAATAGGTACAAAATTGATAATATTTCATATAATCTAGAAGATTTCACTAAATTTGACACCGAAATGGTGGACGTGTAAGAAGATTTATAATTTTGACGGGTGATTGTAATTACCTAAATAAGAAGGAGATTTTCATAATTTGACCATACCTCAGGGATTGGTTGTAATTTACCTAAAGTTTAAGACGCTGATTTTTCAATTTTTTTTATTTAGGATTTTGAAAAACAGAAATCAAAATTTCGAAAATTGGAATTAAAAAAAGAAATTGTAACTAGCAACTTTTTGGATTGGAATCTATGGAATTTGAAGTTCCAATTTTTTTTCTATTCAACAATATTATAAAATTAATAATTAAAATGATATTATAAATGTAAAATTCAGGAAAATAAATTGAAAGCTTTGATATTGTTTTCAAAAATTAAAATCAGACTGGAAATCAAAATCTCATTATATGTTCCAATTACAATCCAAAAAAATAGAAACAGAAACAATAAATTTCAGAATCATGGACGGAACAATATTGTCACAAATTGAAAAATAAATAAAAAATCGGATCAAATTTGCGGAAAAGAAATTTCATTCATTTACCCAAAAATTATTTTATATAATTTCACAACAACCCCTCTTGAAATATGAATTTCGTCTCAAGCCCTCCTTTCTCTTTCCCGCTATTCCCCAAATTAAACCACCCTAATGCAACCCCATTTTTTCACCGGAAAATCCATCGCCCATCTCCTGAGCAAACGTCCTCCAATCTTTCCGATCAAGCAAATTCACGCGCAGATCATCACTCAATCGCACGTGCTATCACGTGATCTTTCTCTGACCGATTCGCTCATCCACTGCTACCTTCACTCCAACAATCTCGGTTCGGCGAGAATCTTATTCGACAACCACCCTTTGCCTCCGCCGCCGACTCTGATATGGAATCTCGTGATTCGCGCTTACTCGAAACTCCGACATTCTTCAGAACCCATCCGCCTTTTCCGTCAAATGCTCGATACTCGGTCGAAACCCGACAAGTATTCCTTCACTTTTGTGATCTCTTCATCTGCTCGTCGGAGTTCGGTTGTGCATGGGCAGATTGTTCATGGGATGGTGGTGAAAAATGGGTATTTGCAGAACTTGTACGTGGCTAATTCTTTGATTAGTATGTACGCTGTTTTTGCCAGGGTGGACGATGCATGCAAGGTGTTTGAAGAAATGCCTGACAGAGATGTATTTTCGTGGACTAGCTTAGTCGGTGCTTATACCAAGAATGGGAATATGCAGAGAGCAAGCAATATTTTTTGGGAGATGCCGTTGAGAAACGATGTGTCTTGGGCTGTAATGATTTCGGGTTTTGTTAGCTGTGGGATGTATAATCAAGCTCTCGAGTATTTTCACAATATGATTAGTAAAATGAAGCCAAACGAGGCTGTTCTCGTCTGTGCTCTCTCCGCCTGTGCTAACCTCGGCTCTTTCGATCGAGGGAACTGGATTCACGTTTATATAGACAAGACACGTATTCCGGAAACTTCCAATATTACGACTGCACTTATCGATATGTATTCCAAGTGTGGGAGAATAGATCACGCGTATCGAGTTTTCGACAAGATTCCGCGTCGAGATGTTCAGAATTTCACTAGCATGATATCGGGGTTATCGATTCACGGGCTCGGCAAGCAAGCTATACGCGTGTTTCATCAAATGCTAGCCGAAAAATTGAAGCCGAACGAAATAACTATTTTGGGAGTTCTAAACGGATGCAGCCATACAGGTATTATCCAGCACGGCTCTTCGATTTTCTACAACATGGAGAATTTGTGGGGACTCGTGCCCAAGATTGAGCACTATGGTTGTTACATCGATTTGCTTGGCCGTGCTGGATTCTTGGCAAAGGCATTTGGGATGGTGAAAAACATGCCGATTAGCCCCGATTTAGTTATATGGAGGGCTTTACTTAGCGCGTGCAGAATTCACCGTAGTTCTTGTTTCGGGGAGCGTGTAATGAACCATTTAGAGCAACTCGACCTTCAAAGTTGTGCTGGAGGTGATGTGCTATTATCCAATTTATACGCTTCGTTAGGAAAATGGGAAAACGTTGCTCGAGTTAGAAAGACGATGGGGAAGGAAAAGAACAGATCGGAAATAGGGTGTAGTTGGATTGAGGTTAATGGTTTCGTTCACGAGTTTCGAGTTGCGGATTCGCACCATCCGCAGATAGATGAGATTCGAGAGAAATTGAGTGAAGTACTGAAACGAGTTGGGTTAGTTGGTTATGCAGTTGATTCGACAAATGCGTCGTTCGATTTGAGCGAGGAAGATAGAGAGCAAGCGGTGGCTTTGCATAGTGAAAAACTAGCTGTTGCGTTCGGACTTATGAATACTGCGCGTGGTGATTCTATTCGAATAATGAAGAATTTAAGAACTTGTGAGGATTGTCATACTGCTCTCAAAGCGATTTCCGAAGTTTACGAGAGAGAAATTATTGTGAGAGATCGGTCTCGTTTTCATACTTTTAGAGGTGGGGAATGTTTGTGTGTGGACTATTGGTAGCGGTCGATTATTCGGACATGAACGAGGAATTTATGCTCTTTTTTTCTTTTCTTTTTTATTTGCGTATTAAACCTTGACCTGCAAATATGATATATTAATTGGACGTGATAAATGTCTTTTCAATTTTAACAATACTGTTTCAACTTCAAACATAATTTTGACCATTTTTTAATCTGAATTAGGCAAAATTCAAAACACAAAATTTGTAAGTTTTCGAATTAGATTTCTAATCCAACTTGAATCACCAAGATTTGATATTGCATGAGAAAGTTATTCATGAATCGATGATCACTTTCCACAAATTTGATAATTTAAGTTATCTAAAATCAAGAACATAACTCATTCATGCATAACTGTGTTATCCGACACCCAAAATAGCCGTCTCGGGTTGAATTAGAAAGCTAACACAGAGCTACAATTTCCGTTTTCTATATTTTGCCCAAATCGAATTAGAAAATGGACAAAATTCCATTAAAAAATCAAAACAGTATCAGTATAATCCAAACGACATTTAACGTTTCAGTATATTAATTTGCTTGGTTTGAAACGATGCAATAAATACCCAATTAAATTCACCACCACTTACCACATTTATTATATTATATGAAGGAAAAAGATAACGTATTAAAATTGGTATATATATACAGAGTTCCAACCTGAAAGAAATTCAGCAACCCATCAATAAAAAAGAAATATCTTTTTTTTTTCTAACAATAAATAAAAAAATTAAAAAAAAATGAAGATGATGAGTTTCTCCAAATTCATCCCCCTTATTCTTCTTGCACTTATGCCAATTGCATTTGCAATTAATTTTGGTCACTATAAAACTTGGGGTAAGCACAAAAACTCTTATATAATATATATATTTATTATTATTTATTTTAATTGAAGAAAAAATGTGATTAATTAATAATTTAAAAAAAACAGGAAAAAAATATTTAATTGATAAAGGGGAATGCATAAGCTCAGTGTGGACCGGGGCCGAAGACCGAGGAGACTATTGGTGCGAAGATGAGTGTAACGATTACCGTGCGTTTGGCATCTGTGATTGGCAGCTTATTAACGGCTTTTTAGCTGGCCCTTGTCAGTGTTGGCTTTGATAAACTAACGCCGTTACATTACATTATTACTAATAATAATAATAACACCAATTTATAATATTATATATTCTTTGGCCAAAAAAATATATTATATTATATTATATTAGATGTTTTTTTTCTTCACTAATTTATTCTTGTGTTTTGTTTATTTTACAAAAGAATTCATCTAAGTTTGTAATATTGCATTGGTATTCGTTTTATTGGAAAATTGCACGTACGGAGGAACGTATTTTAAGTGGCTGTTAAATCGCAAATCGAATAAAAAATGTTTGTAGCTAAATTTACGAATCGTAAAATTCTTGTTATTGGGATAAACTTCTCAAGCCCTCGGGGACTCAAATTATACAAGTTGAACTAGGGGTGTAAACGAGTCGAACTAGAGTCGAGCATGACTGTTTTACCGAGTTCGAACTCATCGAGGGTTTTTTTATTTATTTTTTTTTTGGCTCGAGCTCTAATCCAAGCTCATTATATTGTTTTTTTTTTCTAATTTATTCATTTTTCTTTTTTCTTTTTCTCTCCATTTTATTTTATTTTATCAATTTATTACAACTCTATATTAATGGTATTACCATTCCACACATGTTATACATTAAGGAATAAAATAATAAAGATTCTAATTTATTTAATTCATTTAATCTATTTGCTTTTCCACGCTCTCAAAGGGTCTTTCCCTTCAAGTGCCTCTTGATTTTGGCAATAAGAGAATGGTCATAATTTAATATTTCTAACCTAACTATTATTTTAAGGTTCAAAATAAAATAAAAAAATAAATAAATAAGGGGTCATTAGCAATACACCCCTCCTATAGATAAGAAATGGTGATATGTTCATACCATAATTCTTCCTTTGTGAAAACCTGATACGATCTCTTGTGTATCATAAGATTTCTTTACGAAACGTAAGAAAACTCTTCTTTATTATTTCTCTTCATTATAAAACCCTAGCACAATACGACTATTTAAAGAGAATAAAACCCTAGAATCCTAATCTAACTAGGAAAGATAATTACCTAAACTAATTAAATACCTAATAATCTCCTAACCACTACTAACTCACGGTAATATTTATTATAAATATACTAATCTAATTAATTAATAATAAACTATTAACTAAACTAATAATTAAACGATATATTAAATAATATATCGTATCAAAACCCCCTAGAATATTTATTTCCAATCTTACCCTTATTCTACCCAATACCCATTACGTATTTTTAATAATTAACCACTATTTGCAAAATTCCTATTAATAAGGCACCAAAATCCGCTAATTAGAATTAATTAGTATAATTTATCTCAATTATTCCTTTTTTTTTTCTCTTAACAATAATTTAATTCCTATAAATCAGCTTCCACATTCCTAAAAAATTGCTACCAAATAAAAAAAAAGGTATTTTCGGATTTTTTTTTTATATTATTTTGGACTTTATTTAGCCAACTTTTATTTATTTTTATTTTTAATATTTTTTAATAAAAACATTATGTAAATTTTTTTTAAATTTTTTTTAAACAAAAAATTGAAATTTTTTTCTCGACAGGTTTGCAACGCCGAATATGACTATACTTGAATATGACTATATGTGATTATAAACTGTAGTCATATTCTTTCTTTATATTGTTGCATTTTTACATTTTGAACTTAAGAATTTCCGATTATATGGCATAGTCATGTTTACCAAATCATATAAAACAACGAAGATTCCCTATTATTTACGAAAACAATTCAATCAACATCCACACAAAAAAATTACAATTTGAATCTTGTTATTAGAAGTCAACTTGAATAGTCATATTCGAAAAATACATTAAATATGACTATAGTCATATTCGAATATGAATATAGTCATGTTACTACTGCTCTTCAGATCTGGAAAAACAATCGAAAAATATATAAATAAAGATAGAAAAATAACGAGAGGGATGGGAGTTGACGAGGTCTTCATACACAAAATCACCCTGGCATATCTTCACCCCAAACGACCCTCCATACTTCAACAGAATCATCAAGGTTGAAGACATGATGTGCAGCACTACAAAAAAATATGAGAATGTGACTACAATGTGACTACCAAATTCTGATACTTTCACAATTTATATCCGGAGCTAGGGGGCACCAAATTCAATCTCCTCCGTACAATATATAAACATATATACTTTGAATACTCTATCTAAATTTCGGCCACATCCGACGGTTCAGTTGTACAAAAAAGCGTCCAATCTAGCTGCCAGGAATTATTCAGTAACAAAAATCAGCAGCGAGTTTTAAGATCCGACCTATATTTAGAGAAGTCTGATTCCGATCTCCACCGTTCATAAGTTACCTTTATGTGTTAAGAATCATGTGTAAAAATATCAATCCGATCCGATGGTTAGATCTTCCGATCTGGCATCTGCACGAAAACTGTTGCATCTCAAAAACTTGATTTTTCTGCTCTTTTTCCGTTCGCTCTTCGGAAGAAGAATCAAACCCGGCGCCGGCGCCGTGTGCGGCTGAGTGGTGTCCATTGGTGAGTGGTAGAGGATTATGGGCTGAAGAAGAAAAAAAAAAAAAGGGAAGTTGCGTGAGAAAGAGAGAGAGAATGAAAGAGAGATATATGGAGAGAATTAATGTAATCCTATAATTGAGACGGTTATGGAAAATAAATATTGTAATTATTTTAAAAACTACTGATAAGGGTAGTTTCGTCTTATCACAGTTGTTGAGGGGGGTTTCACTAATTAAGATTGGAGTTTGGGTGTGGGCAAAAGTCTTAAAAGTCAAATGGGTTTAACTCATAATATTTATGGTTTGAGGCTTGTTTTGCATATTTCCCCAATAACTAAAGCCTGATAAGTGATTAATATCAGGATTTATTGCATTCGTCATCCTTATGTTTACTTTAATTGTTAAAAAAAAATCTATATTATTTTATTTATTAGCAAATTAAAGCAAAGTATACCCCTAATAACTCACCTACTATGATGCATTGAAACACTTTTATACACACGTGTTTCAGAAATCGAAACGCCACGACACATGTCGAAAAAGTTTCAGGTTGTTTCTGTAAATATTTAAAAGTTTCAGGGACGTTTCTCGTAATAATGAAAAAATGGAAACGTGTTTCCACAAAAAAAAAAAAGAAGAAAAACGAAAATCCGTTTTAAATAAAGACTCGAAATTTCGTACGTTTAAAAAAAATCTTAAATCTTATATCTCTTTTTCATTTCTAATGGTGTTTTAATATTTTTTTGTAGATGCTAATTGATACTAAAACAAATTCATAAGCTCCGAGCGTAATTTGTGGAATGATAATTCAGATTGAAACTTGTAAATTATATATAGCTTTTAGATACAAATATGTAATTGACGATAAGTTTACAAGTTAAACGTTATAATTCTTTTAGAAATGAAATTATGAATGTCACATTATATTCATAAAATTTACCCGTTTCCCACCATTATAATATCCATTTCTTTTTGTTCCGTTTTACCACTTTCACGTATCCACGTTCCCGTATCGGTGCTCCATTATAAATAGGTTATATGCAAAAATATGCATCATTGAATTTTGATTCTTACTAATATATCACTAACATAACAATTAAAAATGACAGAGTAATTTTTTTTTTCCTTTTTTTTTTACAATAAACTCACTTCTATTATACTAAATCATTTCCTTGATACACTCTGTAACAGTAAACCTTGTTCAGATTGAATCTGTTGGACATTATTTAATCCCAGGAAATAAAAAAAAAAAATAATAATAAAAAAAGAAAAGAAAAAGAATAATCAGCTTCCAGCCTCAGAGATGCTATTTAATGATGGTTGCCACCCCCTTGATTTTGATACACCTGAATTTACTCTTGTATTGTTTCTTGATCTTTGCCTTTCATTTTGCTTTACCTGAATTCAGTAAAACACATTATTATTATTATTATTATTATTATTATTATAAAACAAATTAAATTAAATCAAATTATTAAATAAGTTGACAAATAATTATTGAACTATGAGCTGTATGTGTATTATAATTTATAGGTTAGAGAAACTCCTCTGGCATTTCATATTATAATTATATTATTAATAATTCACTTTGCTGGTTATTAATAATAATTAATCCAAGAATTATTTCAAAATTCTTGTACACACAGAAAAACACACACATCCACATGGTTGTGTGTGTGTGTGTGTTCATCAAAATAATATTTACTTTTTTTTGATTTTTTTTTATAGATCTAATCAGAAGGGATGAAAACTGGTTATAATTAGTTTAATTTATAAATTTATTAAAAGTAAAATAAAATATATTTAATTACCTTTTTAGTGTTCTCCATTCCATTAGTCTTAATTACTGCTTCAAAATCTGAAGTTAGTTTCTCTCTCATCATCTTCTCATAATACTTCTCACTACATGAACCTGGTTGCTGCTGCTGCTTCATCTTTGCTTGCTTCTTTGCAAACAAACCTTTCATCACTTCTGCATAATTAAAAATAATAATAAAAAAAATCAATAAATTTTATTTATTTTTAAATAAAAAATACAAGGGCAAATTACGGCCAACGCTATGTTCAAATTATGAAAAAAAAATCCCTCGGGTAATTACAACCACCACCTCCTTTTAAATATTTTTACATAAAACTTATGTAATTCAATTAATTACCGAATCAAATCGTATATTCAGTTCGGTAAACGGTATGAAATGTTGGTGTACCAAAATTTCGATTCAGTTTCTACCGATTTAACATCCGTAAATTTACCTCTTGACGGGTTTTTCCATAAGATAATACATAGTTCAATGAGGTGTTTGTAATTACCCAAACATGAGGGGTTTTGTCGTAATTTGACCATAACTCAAGGGGTGGCCGTAATTTGCCCAAAATACAAAAAAATTACAAATTAAATAATTAAATTAAATTACCTTGAGATGTGACAAGCCTATAGACATGGCCAAGAAGAAGAGTATCAGTAGACCTAAGAAGTTTGATCCGGGTTACACGAAGTGGGGCGGCGCCGCTGCCGCCTCCGCCGCCGCCTGCGGCGGCGGAGGAGGAATATAAGGTGGTGGTGAGGAGGAGTGCGACGTAATGGCCGGGGTTCATCTTCATGATTTGAGCGGCGGAAACTGGAGAGAATAGCTTATCAACTTTGCCATTGGGGTGTTGAATCACAAGAGCTGCACTATCAATTGCTTGACAATTTCCCATTTCTTGAAAT